TATTTCAAGTACCTTTGAGGATTTTTTTTAAAAAACTGAAGTAATTGGTTCGTATGTCTGTCCATCCTCCTTCCCGCCTTCCCTCCCTGTAGATTAGTTAGAAGCAAATTATATACAGGAACTGTCTTTGATTATTTGATTTAGGTGCTAAATCAAATCTGATTGGATTGCTCACAGAATAAAAATACAATAGAAAATAGAAAAAAATAACAATACGGTGAATCTGCCAGTAACAAACATATCCAACAAGGATTCCTAATTACTTTATTCCATGACTTGGCCGGGGAGCCAAGTCTTTAAGCCTTCCAGAACACAGTTACAATTGGAACCACTTGGATCTTTATGGGGAACCTTCTTTTAGGGAGAAAACATACTGTACTTCCTGAGTCCTGATAGATGATTTGATTTGTTTAATCAAAGGGACCCAGAACATGCCAACCTTTGCTCCTATTGTCTGGACATACACCAGAGGAGATAGTTGGTCCCTCAAATAACTAAATCCTGTGCTATGTTAGGTTTCAGAAAACACAACTAGCATCTTGAATTGCACCCAAAATCAACTAGGAGTTAATGGAGCTTGTGAAAGAGGGATGTCACATGGGCATATTGAGGCATGATTGCCAATGCTGCTGCATTCTAGATCGGTTGAGCCTCCCAAATGGTCTTAAAGGGCAGCCCCACGTAGAACACCTTGCAATAGTTATGCCATGAGAGGTTATCATCTGTCTTCAAGCAATAGCAATAGCATTTAGATGTATACACAGTGCTTTACAGACCCTTCTAAGCGGTTTACAGAATCAGCATATTGCCCCCAACAATCTGGGTCCCCATTTTACTGGCCTCGGAAGGATGGAAGGCTGAGTCAACCTTGAGTGGGTGAGAATTCAACTGCCAAACTGCAGTCAGCAGTCAGCAGAAGTAGCTTGCAGTACTGCATTCTAACCACTGTGCCACCATGGCTCATATATGATCATAATCAGTGGTGGGATTCAACATTTTTTACTACTGATCCTGTGGGCGTGGCTCGGTGGGCATAGCAGGGGAAGGATACTGTAAAATCTCCATTCCCTCCCCACTCCAGGGAGCAAAATCCCCATTTCCTCCCGATCAGATGGACTTGGGAGGGACCAGCCAGAGGTGGTATTTACCGGTTCTCCGAACTACTTAAAATTTCCGCTACTGGTTCTCCAGAACTGGTCAGAACCTGCTGAATACCACCTCTGATCATAATTCTGAAAATGGAGAGTTTGGTATGGTGGGAGAAGCCAATGAAAGATGTAATTACTCTCAAAAATGGGATGGGTTCAGGAGGAGACTGGAGGAAGAAAAAAATCCAACTCTTTCCCCACACCTCATCCCAAAACAATTTTTAAAAAGTTTCATTCCATGAATATTTGAAGGTGAGATTGTTAAAGTACCTATTTTAAAAAACGAGAAACAGAATTCTAATTTTAGTTAGAAACCATTATAAAAGCAATATTGCAATACAATGAATCCCACTACACTAGTAAAACAACAGTAGGCTATTGTACACATGCACTAAACTATTTACTTGTATTCAGAATTTGAAAACTATACAGGATTATGTAGACATTATTTTATTCACCCTTCTTAAAAATGGAGAATCCAAATTTGCTTCCTTCCCATATGACATTAAACTACAATTTCATTTTATGAGCATGAGACATGATTGATAATTCTTCCTCCTTTCTCTGCTGCATAGTAATGAGAAGGCCCAAAACTTATTTCCCGCTAATTTATTGTTTCTCATTATATCCAAAATGGGAATGGGTTTATTGAAACAAGGCACAATTATTAACATTGACCTCTTCCATTAAATCATAGTTCATACCATGGTCTCTCAGGGTTCAGATATAATGAGCTGAAAATTGAAGTAAAAGCTTCCAATCTCCTTGCAGTTGTGCTGGAAAGAAATGGAGAGTCTGCAAGATTAAAGCTTTTACGTGTGATATATAAGAAATATATTGTAGTGTGGCTTTCAAGGCCAGGCTATTGTCATCGATATGTACTCCAATCAATGTGTAAGGGCTAAAGAGAACATAGCCAAATAGCCACAAGGAATGAAACTGAGGTATATATCAATAATAATGTCTCAGCTGCTTCCTTCAGCAACTTCTGATTTATAGTAACCATTATGGAACCTGAAAGCTCCATAGTTCCAGTAGTGAGAATACATCCCACAGATAAGCCTAGCGCTTCTTTCTCACAACTCTAATATCATAATACAAGGCTTCAAAATCTGGTCCTTGAAAGTGAGTGCTGGAAGATTAATTAATTAATTTTTATATTCTGCTATGGTATTATTAGGGACGCAGTGGCTCAGTGGCTAAGACGCTGAGCTTGTCCATCGAAAGGTTGGCAGTTTAGTGGTTCGAATCCCTAGTGCCGCATAACAGGGTGAGCTCCCGTTACTTGTCCCAGCTTCTGCCAACCTAGCAGTTCGAAAGCATGTAAAAAAGGCAAGTAGAAAAATAGGGACCACCTTTGGTGGGAAGGTAACAGCATTCTATGCCCCTTTGGCATTTAGTCATGCTGGCTACATGACCCCGGAGACGTCTTCGGACAGTGCTGGCTCTTCGGCTTTGAAACGGAGATGAGCACTGCCCCCTAGAGTCAGGAACGACTAGCACATATGTGAGAGGGGAACCTTTACCTTTACTTTATGGTATTATTACTCTTTTTGGGAAGGAAGGAGGGAAATCTTGCTTTCTGTTTTCTTTCCCAAAGTGATCTCAGGATTGGTAAACATCTGGCATTTAAGATGTTATTAATGCTCTCATGCCTTTGCTGTAAATGCAGACTTTCTTCAATTAAAAAGTAACTGATTGTATCCAACTGCCAAGTATATATACACCAATAAATAACTCACCCGAACTGCCCTATATTTTGAACACAGTATGCTACCGTGGTAAACATGGTACTCATGTAATAAAAATGTGTTCTTTCACTATGTTATGCTTGATTTATGTGAAGAATTTTCTTCTGTGCTTCTAAAATTAATAACTTTTGAACAGTTTTCTTAGGTCATGGTGATAATAATTTATTTGGTTAATTATTTTGTTTTGAACGTATCGATACAGATTTCTTGAAAGCTGGACATCTGAACTGTGTATTTTAAAAAATATAATTCAGCATGCAAGAATGCATGTATAAATTAATCTCCAAGTAATTATTGCTAAGGGCAATAAGATAAAAGGAAGCTAACTATTTTCAAAGTCAAATGAAAGATAGTCCCACAATTCATCTAATCTATGGATGAAATCTAGCTAAAGATAGCTTCATTATAAAATTGTAGAGCAACAGTAGAGGGCACTCTAGCAGGAAATTAAACTCACAAGTGAAGCTAATATGTTGTATATTTTACAATATATATCAACAGACATTTCTTCTGTTTAATAGACATAACTGTTATACATGCCTTAATATATTTAGAAGAATAATACTGACCATAATTAAATAAATAGCAATATTCAGGTGATTTCAAAAAGAACATGCCTTTGCATATAGTAGAAATTCTTTCATTTACTAAATATTGATACAAAACCTTACATGTACATATTCAGAAGAATAAAGGATGCAGAGTTTCCACCAGGAAGAATAAAAAGGAATTTCAATGTATAGAAGTCCAAAGGAAGCAAGCACCATTTCTTTACACAAAAATGCACTAAGAGATGTATTATATATCCAATATACTAAATATAACATAGCCCAACTTGGATGAGTTTATACTAGATTGATGAATTGAGCATTTGATACATAGAGATCCAGTGACATTTGCTTGCCTGAGGTAGGCAATTGGAGTCAACCATTCAGTAATGAAAATAGAAATACTATTTGCAATTTGCTGTAATTCACATAAAAGAATCACCAATGTAATGAAATGTGGCCGAAGCAACTGTTACCTCACCATGCTTTACTGTTGCATTTGCAAACATTTCAATTGTGTTTTCATATCACCAGGTGTATAGTCTTGTTTTTAATGCTAAAAAATAGGGTGGCAATTTTAGACTTTCAAAAGTAACACCAAACATTTAATTCAGTATTGTTTTGCCCAGTTCCAAAACTGAGCTTTATCAACTGACAATTTATTATGGCATAAACTTTCCACAGGCTAGAGAAAGCTTTCACACATAACAAAACTTGTTAGCCTTTCAATTGCCAGAGTGCTTCTTTACTTTATCTGATAGGGCACTTGAAACCTAGATGAGACTGCTATCATTCTCTCCTCCCTTGCTTAATCTGAAATACTTCTCTCTCTCTTCTTTTTTTTTTGAATAATAATAAGTAAGTGCCACCCAACGAATCGAACCTCATTTATAGAATTTTGACAAGGCCTCTTTTTGACCGCAAATGGAAGAATTCAACAACGCAATCTTCGGGTAAAGAGAAAAACCAGGATATCAGCACGAGAGGCAAAGGACAGCTCCGGAATCGGGAGAGGGGTGGAAATGAAAACTTTCCTCGGGCAATTTTCCAAGGCGCAGATAAGACCGCTCGTTTTGCATTGGCCAGAAGCGGCCGATCACTTCCGAAAAATACCGTCGATCTGTCCCCAAATTACGGATTTCACTCCAAGTCACCGGCGCGCAATCTAAGGCGCGTAAAGGCAAGAAAACTCGTACCACGACGCCTCCTAATCGAAACTCCCTCCCTCCCTCCCTTCCTAAATTTCGGGAAACGACGCCAACGGAAGGGAGGAAGGGGTGGATGGGTGAGTGGAGGCCGTCGGGATTAAGATGCCTTTGATTTCCATCCCCACCGGCAACCCTGCAAGCCAGCCCGAAGCTACCGCAGAGGGGGGTGGGGGAGTGAAGTTCTGGTCTCCGCTCCCGCCTGAAGTTCGGCAGCCTCTCCCCGCGCGAGGGGCGGAGCTTGTGGAGCCCTCCCGGGGCTGTCGGTGCGCTCTGGCTCGCTGCATACGGATCGAGGGGCGGGGCGAAGCCGGGGGGGGCAGTCCCACGTGCCCCCTCCTCCTCGTCCTCCTCCGCATGCCTGCGAAGGCCGAGGGAGCTTTTTAGCAACTGCGGCTGCCAGCGTCGCCGCCGCCGCTGCCACCTCTCGGAGAGCTCGCCTCGCTATTCTCCGGCAGCGGCTCTTCTGCCTTGAACGGGAGAGCGGGAGGCACAAAGGGGAGAGCCTTGCGGAGGTGGGGGGGGCGCTCGGGGGCGCCAGAGAAGTGCAGCGAGAGGAGGAAGTAGAAGAGGAGGAGGAGGAGGAGGAGGAGAAAAACAAGCACCTGGGGCTCGGCTGCTGCTCGCCTCGCCGCCGTTCTTCCCCAACCCCTCCGCCCGCCTCTCATGCCATTACAGCAACAAAGAGCACGCTGAGCAGCGGGCGGAGAGGCGCCCTGGCTCCGAGCTCCGTCAGCCCAGAAGGCGGCGGAGGACCATGGCTAGGAAAGGGGACGCCGCTGTCTCCCCTTACGGTAAGTCGGGCTGAAGGAGGAAAGGAAGGCAGGTGGCCGGCTTGCAAAAAGCACAGCAGAGCGGGCTGAGGGGCGCGCTCGGCGCCGCAACCTAGTCCGGGAGGCTTGGTTGGGTATTTTTGGCCTGTTTCAACCCGCGCATCAGGCTCCCGGAGTTGTTTTTTTGTCTTTTATTTTTTGTTTGCCGGGGGAGGGGGGAAGAGAGAAAGCAAAGGGAGGGAAGCCCTGTTCCGGCTGCCCCCCGTTCCCCCCTTTCCCCCTTCTTCCGCCAAGGCGGCTTGTTGCTGCGTCCTTGAGGAGGTCGGAAAGTTGGGGCTCGGGCTGTGCGAGGCGAGGGGGGGGGCAGAAAGGAGGAGGAGGAGAACTCGGGTGCGTTTCGCCCTTTCCTCTCCTCAGCCGGCTGAGGAGAAAGAGGAGGCAGCCCTGGGATGGGGGGCAGGTGCACCCGCGCCGCTTTGTCTCCCTCTCCCGGGAGGGAGCGACCTGGGAATTGTTGGCCGGTTGGGGCCCTGGGGACTGGGCAGGCATGGCCCAGGGAGGACAAGGCTCGAGACGGGGTGGTTTTGGAGATGGAGAAGGGGTGACTGTGAGGCGGAGCGGCTGGCTGGCTGGCTGAAGAGGATGGAGGGATCCTTCCCCTCCGGGGCAGCGCTTCTGGGGTTGGGTGGTCGCGAGATAAACAAGCAAAAAGCCAGGCTGGGACTAGGCTTGCCTGCCCCCCTTTGCTTTGACTGGATAAAAACTATTCCTGTTGAATGTTACTACCTAGGAGTTGAGGGCAATAAATCCGGGGGGGCGGAGGTGAGGGAGATGAAAGGGGGTGGGGTGGGGTGAGGGTTGGGGGACAAGAATCTTTTAGGCACGAAAAGCAAGGGGTGCATTTGTGGGTTATGGGGACTGAGGGGACTCGAGTGACTCTTGAAGAAAGAGGCAATGAATCAGGGACGTGGGGTTTGGGAACAGCCCTTCGGGGACTTGAGAGATCTTAGAGGAGTTCTGGAAGCAGAAGCGATAAATAAACCGTTGTTATTCACAGCCACTTTTTCTGGGTCCAGACAAACAGCTAGCCTTCTTTGCTCATTATTTAAGGGCTCATTAGGGGAGGAATACATGGGTGTAAAAAGCTGGGATGCAGTAATATTAGGGTCCATGTGGGCATCCTGTTATCATTTGCAGTTCAGAGGCAGGGTAGAGATGGATGGATGCTCTGTGTAATTTGCAAGGTAGATGGGTCTCCTCTTGAGTACCACACCATGCCTTTAAAATCCCAATTTAGATGTTAAAATGTTTTCTTCTGTCCTCCAGTTGAGTACCAAAACCCCTTTTGTGCCAGATATCTTCTATTTATGTTCGGCTTTGAAATTTGGATTTAGTCAGAAAACAATACATTCTGGGTCACTGCAATGGGAATGACCATATAGGATACAATTAAATCATGCTCAGGATTTGTAGATATAAAAAAAAATATTAAACCATGCTCAGGATTTGTAGATATTCAAAGTGATCAATGGATTTTAAAGACGATTGTGGGATGGGTATCTCTGGCATATCAAAAGTGAAAACGAAGCCACAAAAATGTAGTAGTCATTACTAGTTTTTCTTTGGGGGTGGGGTGGGATGGGAAAGCGAAGCAACTGTTTTATCAGAGTTTTCTCAATGGTTCATATCCTTCTTTGTTCACAATGACAAGGCATATTTCAGCTATTTGAGTGCATACCATACAGCATCTTACAAATAATACCTACAACGTTGCCTGTGTAAGTCTTGAGATCAATACTGGGAGGGAAAAAAAGCTAAAATAGATATATTTTTATACTATCACTTTGTTTTCTTCTTATGGCCCATTTTGGTGTGTCTAAATTTTTATGAGTCCTATATTATGATATAGGGCAATCTTCTTTTTGCATAAGAGCTCTTAATAAGTACATGAAATGCATACAAATAAGAGCTTGGTTTTCCATAAGGATATAAATATATCTTATGAATATAAGATACTACCCTGTATTGAATTGTTTTTTATTTGATTTTTATCCTGCCATTATTTTTACAACTCAAGGCAGTGTGCGTAAACCTTCCACCTCCTATTTTCTCTTTACAACTCTATAAGGTGGGTTGGGCTGAAAGAGAGTTATCCAGTGGGCATTCATACATATGGGAAAACTAGAGCTCACAGTCTCCTAAGATCTAGTCCAGAGCCTTAACCACCGCTATAGGTAGTCCTCAACTTACAACCATTCATTTAATGACCATTCAAAGTTGCAATGGTACTGAAAAAGTGACTTATGGCCATTTTTCATATGTATGACCATTGCAGCACCCCTGTGTGATCAAAATTTAGACACATGGCAGTTGGCATTTATTTATGATAGTTGCAGTGTCCTAGGCCATGTGATCACCTTTTGCATCCCTCCGACAAGCAAAGTCAATGGGGAAGCCAGATTCACTTAACAACCATGTTACTAACTTAACATCTGCAGTGATTCACCTAATGGCTACTTAATTCACTGTGGCAAGAAAGGTCATAAAATGGGGCAAAACTCACTTAACAATTCTCTTGCTTAGCAACACAAATTTTGGGCTCAAATATAATAATAAATAAAGGACTACCAGTACACAAAACTGGCTCTCAGTTATAAATAAACTACAGGTAATCCTCAACTTGCAACCATTCATTTAGTGACATTCAAAATTACAATGGCACTGAAAAAAGTGACATAACTTTCACATTTATGATCATTGCATGATCCTCATAATTATGTGATCATGGTGGCGCAGTGGTTAGAGTGCAGTACTGCAAGCTACTTCTGCTGATCACCGGCTGCCAGCAGTTTGGCAAATTGAATCTCACCAGGCTCAAGGTTGACTCAGCCTTCCATCCTTCCAAGGTTGGTAAAATGAGGACCCAGATTGTTGGAGGCAATATGCTGACTCTGTAAACCGCTTAGAGAGGGCTGTAAAGCACTGTGAAGCAGTATATAAGTCTAAGTGCTATTGCTATTGCTATCAGAATTCAGATACTTGGCAACTGGTTCATATTTATGACTGTTGCTGTATCTCAGGGACATGTGACCACCTTTTGCAACCTTCTGACAAGCAAAGTCAATGGGGAAGACAGATTCACTTTATCATGGTATTAACTTAATAGCTGCAGTGGTTCATTTAACAACTGTGTCAAGAAAGGTCATAAAATGGGAACTCGCTTAACAACTATCTCACTGAGCAACATAAATTTTGGGCTGAATTGTGATCATAAATTGAGGACTACCTGTACTGGTGCATACTTTGACAAACAGTGCTTCTTAAGTTCTCTAGTAGGAGATTTTTCATTATTTTTTAACCATTTAACTGGATAACCAGGGATTGAACTACTGAGTTTTGTTTCTTCCCTATCATTTGAATGAAAAAAACCATGCAATTTCTGTTTATTATAGGATGAGGCCAGTCTATGGGATATTCCTGTGTATTTATTAATCAAATTTATTTATTCACCAAATTTGTATAGCAGCCCATCTCACAAAACACAGCCTGGCTTGTACATAAAATTCTGTTAGGAGCAACTGAAATAATATGGTATACAAACAACCAGTTTGTGCCATGTAGATTCACAAGAAAATCAATCAACTAAAAAGTGTAGCAATTTAATGAATTGCTGTCACTTAGCAACATTTTGTTTTCCTCTAGATTCTCCTTTTCCTATTCTTTCCTATGATTCGTTTTTCTCTGTACCTATAATCTACAAAGGTTCATGCTCTAATAACAACGTTAGTTTTTAAAGGCACAATGTATTTACACTTCTTCTGCAACAAATTCATATGATTACTTCTAGAAATTGTGACACGGCTTTCTTTAGTCTCAGGGGTGTATGAGTGTGTGCTGGATAAGAAAAAAGATGCTGTCGATGACTGCTTGGCAGAAACTCCACTCTTTTTTTTTACATGTGCCATGTGCGTGGCACACATAAAAACAGGGCAAAGCATTGATCACACAATCAAAGCTACCATCTTATTTTTCTGGCCTCTTCCATGGATACCTTTGTTAAGTTTGATCTTTAGCAGGTGTGGGGACTAATGGAAATATTTAGACTTCTTATCCAACATACTGAAGAATAGCAGAATGGGGAAGGCAGAATCAACATGAAATACGCCAAAATATCTTAAATCCAAATGATATACCCATGATGGCGAACTATGGCACGTGTGCCACAGGTGGCATGTGGAGCCATATTGGTGGGCACGTGAGCATTGCCCTAGCTCAGCTCCAGCGCGCGCTGATTTCCGGGCCTTCCAGATCCAATGGCAAACAGGCTGTTTCTGGCCTCCGGGGGTGGGTGGGGAAGGCCTGTTTTGGCCCTCCCCAGGCTCCTAGAAAGCCTCTGGAGCCCGGGGAGGGCAAAAAATGGGATTTCTGGTCCCACCGGAAGTCGGCAAATGGGCCTTTTCTGGCCTTCTTGGAGCCTGGGGAGGGCGAAAAACGGGGCTACCAGGCCCACCGTGCCAAAAGCAGGGGGAGTGCGGGGGGTTGCACGCGTATACGTGGGGCACATTGAATTATGGATATGGGCACACGCACACACGACCCCCCCCCCACTTTTGGCACGTGACAGCAAAAAGGCTAGCCATCACTGTGATATACCATTCTACTACCAGGACAGGATGCTAAGAACTATTATGAAGTAACTAGTGAAGAAATAAATTAGCTAATGCTTAGAAATCTTCCCATAGGGTTATAATGCAAGTTACTTGAGAGTGTCTCCTTGAAATAATTAAATTCAATTTCAGCTGTAAGTGGATGACTTTATGTTTTATCTTGCAATTTTATTTCAGCCTCTTTTTGTTATATGCAAATTTGAAAAGCAGCAATTTGAAATGCTATTTCACAGGTAGTTTTCTAGCTCTTAAAGGGGAAGAAAGTTAGAAAGTGCTGAGAAGATTTCTCCAAAGTAAAACGAGGAGTTAATCTTGCTTTGATCCTTGCGGCAAATAGATGTCAAAATCTCTAAC